CCCTCTCCCCCTCGGTATCCTGTGTTACTGATTGTATCTCTACTGATGTTAATCCAGCTCCCTCACACTGTCACTCAGTAACCCCTCTCCCCCTCAGTATCCTGTGTTAGTGATTGTATCTCTACTGATGTTAATCATCTCACCCACCAGTACCTACCCAGGGCAGGGGCAGCACAGTTTAGTTAAGTAAAGCTCCCTCTACACTATCCCCACCAAAACTCAGAGGACAGGGACAGCATGGGATTAGTTACAGAGTAAACCTTCCTGTACACTATCCTCATCAAACACTCCAAGACAGGGACAGCACAGAGTTAGTTAGAAAGTAGAGCTCGCTCTACACTGACCTCATTAAATACTCCCAGGCCAGGAGTGAGACAGATTTTTGATACAGACTATTTATAGTACCTGTCCGATTGATGTTAGGAATACTGCCCGATAGTTAACTACAGTAGATCGATCTAAACGTTTGTTTCTGAAGAAAATATATTAAGGAGACTCTTTAGTTTCAGTTTGAGGTCACTCAGCTCCCTCCTGACCTATCAGGTGCTGTGTCTTCTCATCTCTGAAGTTATGTCACAAATACTGGAACCTCAGTCTCTGCTTCCGCCAATCTGTCCAATTTATCAAAGTGAATACAGATCCCCTGGATGATTACAGGCTCAGATTCTCTCCCCTTTAAATACAAAATCCCTTTTTTCTAGACCGGGTCACCCACCCTCCAGTACAGACCAGGAATCTCCAGGAACTGAAGATCCATCTCCTGGGGTGCAGACCCCGAATTCGCTGCTGATGTGGGAATCGTGGATGATTAATGACTCCCAAATGAAGTTGGGCAGAGTATTGCACAAATAGCTAACCTCACTGCTAATTGAATCAGACCAGTTGTGGAGTCATTGTGGCACAGATGGAGTCCATTCAGCCCAGCAGTAACATGCCAGCACGCTGTGGAGCAAACTGGTCAGATACCCCCTGGCTTGCTCTGTACCTGTAGCCCTGAAAGGTTATTTCCCTTAAGTTTCTGCCCAATTTGGGAGTCATTAATCATCCGCGATTCCCACATCAGCAGCGAATTCGGAGTCTGTACCCCAGAAGATGGATCTTCAGTTCCTGGAGATTCCTGGTCTGTACTGGAGGGTGGGCGACCCTGTCTAGAAAAAAGGGATTTTGTATTTAAAGGGAAGAGAATCCGAGCCTGGAATGGATGAGGGAGCAGGACATGACAGAAGGCCCATTTGCACAATACGCAGGTACCCTGTGAAGGAAGGAGGGCACCTTAAACCCTGCAGAGTTGGGCCGCAGTAGGGGTGCGGTGCTGATTCGGGGAATAGCACCACACCTTTGGAAGGTTCTCAAGGCCTTGTAGGGGAGGTTTACCGAAAAGGGGTGAGGGGACTTGGTTCACAAAGAGAGACTGAAGAAGCTGAGATTTAGAAGAATGAGGGGGGATCTTACAGAAACATATAAAATTATGAAGGGAGGTTGTTTCTACTGTCAGGTGAGACTAGGACTAGGGGGCATAGCCTCAAAATAAGGGGGAGCAGATTTAGGACTGAGTTGAGGAGGAACGACTTCACCCAAAGGGCTGTGAATCTTTGGGATTCCCTGCCCAGTGAAGCAGTTGAGGCTTCTTCATTGAAAAGATAGATTTTTGAACAGTAAAGGGAAAGGAGGGTTATGGTGAATGGGTGGGTAAGTGGAGCTGAGTCCATGAAAAGATCAGCCATGATCATACTGAATGGGGGAGCAGGCTGGAGGGGCCGAATGGCCTACTCCTGCTCCTGTTTCTTATGTTCTCCTTGAAGCAGGGATGAAGAGGAGATTTAAAATCATAGAATCCCTAAAAAGCAAAAAAGAGGTCATTTGGCCTATTGAATCTGCACTGAGCTTCTGAACAGCATCCCACAAATTCCCTGTAACCCTGCATTTCCCATGGCTAATCCCATAGCCTGAACAGCACAGGGTCATTTTTAAGCATAGCCAATCCACCTGACCTCCATATCTTTGGACTGTGGGATTAAACCAGAGCAGACCGATGCAGACACAGCAAGAATGTACAAACTCCACACAGACATTCACCCGAGGTTGGAATTGAACCCAGGTGCCTGGTACTGTGAGGCAGCAGTGCTAACCACTGAGCCACTGTGCAGCCCTAACAGATGCTAACAACTATGTGTGCTATAGATAGAGTAAGGTAGGAGAGCTGACAAACCAAAGGATGCAGATTTAAGGTGGTTGGTGAAAGTCAGAAATGAGACAAGAAACATTTTTTTTTACATGACGAGTTGCTGGTGGTCTTGAATGTGCTGCCTAAGAGGGTGAAATGGTTTCAACAGTAGGACAGGCATACAGCAATAGATAGATCCATATATAGCTTTCAAAAAGTGACCTGTGCCCATTCGTGTGGCAGGAATATTGACAGGAATATTGTCCGTTCCTTCAGGACACGATTCAGGAATGTGGAATCAATGCTTGGAAGTTATTGCCCTTTTAAGTCTCCCCAGCCTCGGAGAATCGGATCAGTGCTTTTTATTTATTTTCTTGGGCATTCTAACGCACTGATTTATTCAGGAATCACAAGGTGTCGGGGTGGACGGGGAGTTCACCACTGCTCAGGATGAAGAAATACACAGCCAGGGTCTCCCCACTCACTGCCTGCAACAGTCCCGTGCTATCGCTTGCATGGGTAGAAGGTAAGCAACCTTCAGATCAGGGAGAGGGATTCTTACTGCGATGGAACAGTTAGAAACCATTGCAGTTAGAAAATCCCACAGCAGATCTGAGGGAGCGCCACACTGTCAGAGGGTCAGTGCTGAGGGAGCGCCGCACTGTCGGAGGGTCAGCGCTGAGGGAGTGCTGCACTGTTGGAGGGTCAGCACTGAGGGAGCGCCGCACCGTCGGAGGGTCAGTGCTGAGGGAGCGCCGCACTGTCGGAGGGTCAGTGCTGAGGGAGTGCTGCACTGTCAGAGGGTCAGCGCTGAGGGAGCGCCGCACTGTCGGAGGGTCAGCGCTGAGGGAGCGCCGCTCTGTCGGAGGGTCAGCGCTGAGGGATCGCCGCACTGTCGGAGGGTCAGCGCTGAGGGAGCGCCGCTCTGACGGAGGGTCAGCGCTGAGGGAGCGCCGCACTGTCGGAGGGTCAGCGCTGAGGGAGCGCCGCACTGTCGGAGGGTCAGTGCTGAGGGAGCGCCGCAGTGTTGGAGGGTCAGTGCTGAGGCAGCAAAGATCCCACAAACAGCAACAACATATGGCTGGATCACCTGTCTCCCAGGAAAGGAAGCACCTCCGATAGTGCAGCATTCCCTGGGTGCTGTACCAGGAGGGTCAGCCTAGAGTCTGATTCAGGTCACTAGGATAGGGCTTGAACACATAACTTTCTGAGATAGAGAGAGGGAGAGAGAGTGAGAGAGAGAGAGAGAGCGAGTGAGAGACAGACAGACAGACAGAGAGAGAGAGAGGGGGGAGTGGGAGGGCGAGGGGGGCAAAGAGGGAGGGGTGGGAGAGAGAGAGAAAGAGAGAGACCATCCCACTGAGGTACAGAAATATCAGGGGCTAGGCTGGGTCTATTACTTCCACATATTCTATACACAAGGAGTCCATTCAGCCCCTCATCTCTGTTCTAGCTGTTTGAAGGACCTATCCAATTCATCCCATCTCTTTCCCCAACTTTGCCAATCATCTCAAATCTGTAACTTCTGGCTATTGATCTCACTGTCATGGGAGACAGTTTTGTCTCTTTTATTCTACCAAAACTTCTATTAAATCTCCCCTCAACTTTCTCTGCTCGAGAGAGAGCAACCCAGCCTCTATGGTCTCCAGGTAACTGAGTACCTTCAACCTTGAGGCTGGTCTGACAAATCTGCTCTGCATCCTGTTTTAAGCCCAACTGATGGTAATACTGAGCAAGTCAGACCTCAGAATCAAATCTAGCTTGATAGACCCTAAGTTTTACTTTTTGCAGTTTGGAGCCTGTGGCAGCCAGCCATTAAGCAAATTCATGTAAGGCTGTCAATTTTTTAAGTAAAAGAATGCAAGTTTATAATATATTACAAAGCTATTTATATAAATTACAATGTCTAAAGATCTTACCATAAATAGAGAAAGGATTCAGCTTGTTTCTTTCTCTCCCAGCAATATCCTTTACAGACACTCAACCCCACTAAAATCTCAATCCTATCTTCACTTTAAATGCTTTTTGTTTACTGAAATGACAAGGTTGCAAGCATTTCCTTGCAGCAACTTCATCAAATGTAATTCCTACTGTCTCTCCTAGAAACATACAGACACAAGCTAAGTCACTGACCTTTCCTACTGAGAAAGATACAAGGCTTTTTCCAGCTCTGTTTACTTGCTAAAATAGCTTAAAATTTCTTCCCAGCTCTGATGGCCTGGAGACTTCAAAAACTAAAACTGCATTTCTGTTGGCATGGATTTTCTTTTGTTCTTCTCAACTGAATCTGCCTCGAACCCTTGGCCTTTCTTCCTGTAGTGACCATTTAGCAATTATCTCCTCAAGTAGCTTATGTAGTCAAAATAAAAAGAGAATGTTGGAGTAACTTGGCAGGTGTGGCAGTATCTCTGGAGAGAGTTGGCATTTAAGTCCCATTATTCAGTTGCTGCCAAACCTGCTGATTCTCTCCAGCACTTGCTGTTTTCATTCAGATCGCCTGTAACAGCTGTATTTCACTTTTACCGGAGTGCTTATCTAGTCAATTTAGCTTGTGATGATGGTGTGGCTTTAAGAGATGTGTTTTGTCCTGGTTTCTTTTAGAGATAGAGATTGGGGGACAGGTGACGAGCAGTCAATGAGAAGATAAACAACCTGTGAAGCATTGGGTATTTGTTTAAAAGTTGGAACAACGGAAGCAGCCTGAATGGGTGCAGTCAAGCTCCCATTCACCAAACCAGGGATTTTAGGTTTAGCTTTCAACGGTTGCTGTTGGGGTCTTGAAGAAGTGGAAGCTATTTCTTCGTCCTTCTCTCGGTTACTGGGGGATTCTCTGGCTGCTAAGGGAGCTGCATGTGAGACAATCTGTTTTCTGAATTTGCCTTTTGCCATGAGTGTGTTTATGGAATGTTACTATATTGGAACAGTTCCCATTTAGTCGTATAATAATCTATTATTCTATTAAGTTTTCCAACAGAGTTAAGTTATTCCAAGTTTGTCTTCATTTTGTTGTAATTTAAATATAGTGTTTGAATAAGTTGTGTTTTGCGAGTAGTTTGACAAATTGAATTGCATCTGGAATACAGCACCTCATATTTACCTTAAAATAAGAAAAAGTTAGGGTCCAGGCTACCTTCGTAATACATTTTGACACGGTTTGGTCTGGTCTGGTCCATAACAAGCCTAAATCACATATTTGGAAATGCTGTGGTGAACTCACTGTTTGAAATGGCATTCTGACCTTTTAAAAAAAAAGTTACCTTCACAGAACTAAAGTCAAAAACTGATCTACTTCTACTTTAGAATCCAGGTACCAGATGATAAGAATATATTATAAACCTTCATTACAACCCTCTTCAAGGCCATTCCCCCTAAAGTGTGGTGCCCAGAATTAGATACAATTCTCCAGCTGAGAGCTAATCAGTGTGTTATAAAGGTTTGCCATGACTATGCTTCCACTGATGAAGCCGGGGATAATTTGCAAGTTCCTTATTGAATTTTCCTTTCTTTCATTATTTAGCCTTTCATGAGATGTGGGCATTGCCCTTGAACTGAGTGGTTTGCTCAACCATTTCAGAGGACACTCAATTGCCAATCACAATGTTGTGGGTCTGAAGTCACGTGGATAAGGAGTGCAAATTTCTCTTTTGAAGTTAAAGAGCAAGAGGAGGCCATTCATAGAGTCAGAGATGTACAGCATGTAAACAGATGGTCCAACTCATCCATGCTGACCAGATATCCTAAATTAATCTAATCCCATTTGCCAGCATTTGGCACATATCCCTCTAAACCCTTCCTATTCGTGTACCCATCCAGATGCCTTTTAAATGTTGTCATTGTACCAACCTCCACCACTTCCTCTGGCAGCTCATTCCATACACGCACCACCCTCTGCGTGAAAAAGTTGTTCCTTAGGTCCCTTTTAAATCTCATCTCTCACCTTAAACCTATGCCCTCTAATTTTGGACTCCCCTATCCGGAGAAAAAGACCTTGGTTATTCATCCTATCCATGCCCCTCATGATTTTATAATCCTCTATGAGGTCACCCCTCAGTCTCTGACGATCCAGGGAAAATAGCCCCAGCCTATTCAGCCTCTTCCCTATTGCTCAAACCTTCCAACCCTGGCAACATCCTTGTAAATCTTTTCTGAACCCTTTCAAGTTTCACAACATCCTTTCTATAGCAGGGAGACCAGAATTACATGCAGTATTCCAAAAGTGGCCTAACCAATGTCCTGTATAGTCACAACTCCTATACTCAAAGCACTGACCAACAAAAGCAAGCGTACCAAATGCCTTCTTCACTATCCTGTCTACCTCTGTCTCCAATTACAAGGAACTATGAACCTGCACCCCAAGGTCTCTTTGTTCAGCAACACTCCCCAGGACTTTACCATTAAGTGTACAAGTCCTGCCCTGATTTGCCTTTCCAAAATTCATCCCATCATAGACATGTTCATATTCACTTTCATAGAATCCCTACAGTGTGGAAACAGGCTCTCCGTTCCAACAAGTCCATACCAAACCTCAGAGCATCTCATCCAGACTCATCCCTCTATAAACCACCTAATCTACACATCCCTGAACACTATGGGCAATTTAGCGTGGCCAATCCACCTAGCCTGCATGTCTTTAGACTGTGGGAGGAAACCGGAGCACCCGGAGGAAACCCACACAGACACGGGGAGAACGTGCAAACTCCAGACAGTCGCCCGAGGGTGGAATCGAACCTGGGTTCCTGGCGCTGTGAGGCAGCAGTGCTAACCACTGAGCCACTGTGCTGCCCCATGTCTGGAGTGGTTCTATTACCTAGTGCCAATATCCTGCCTTTTCCCCTACTCCTGCACAGATTTCCTTCCCGAAAGGAAGGGAGTGAACCAGGTGGGGTTTTGTGACCATGGATGGTGGATACCACCATGGAGACTAGTTCTTGATTACACACTTTATTAACCAAATTTAAATTACTGCCACGGTGGGATTTGAACCCGTGCTCATTAACCTCTGGATTACTAGTCCAGTGAGAGTACCATCTGCCCATCGATGCTGCCAAAATGTAGCAGTCAGCACACTCCTAGTGACCCAGTCTCTCTCCTTGTCTTCCCCACCAAACCGTCGAAGGCAGTGGCGAGACCCTGGATGCTCCGGCACAGGCAGCGAAGCTCGGCGAGGACCGCATGGCACCCTGCTGCGGGCGATGCCCCCTCAGCGGGCTGGGGAGAGCAGCAGTGGGCCTGGCACTGGCGGCCTGTCTGGCGGGTGCCTGGGCAGGCATGACGCAGCTGGCGAAGGCGGCGCTGCGGGACTTCGAGTCACCGTTCTTTGTGGCTTGGCACTCGGCCAGCTGGAACCTCTTGCTCTTCCCCGGCTACTGCTCCTGCCGCCTGCTGATCTCCAGCGAGAGGAGACTGCTGCTCAAACAGTTCCGGTGAGGTTCGGTTCGGAGCGGGCCGAGGGGTTTAGCACGTGCTCGGAGGAGTTTGGGGGGGCAACGGCGGCAAATCACAACCCCGCGGAGAAAGGGTAACACCACGGTGCTAGAAATCGGGAAAAAAGAACAAGAATGGCTGGGGATTGCACAGCATCAGGAGGGGGACAGGAACATGCACCAAGCTTTCCAGGTTGAGCGCCTTTTGTCAGCACCAGAGGGTTGAAGACGTTTGAAACTTTCAGGGAGAAGTGGCGGGGCAGGGCACTGTCTGGGGTGGGAAGAGAAGTGGTGAATGGTATGAAATGGTCAAATGTCAAAAGGGACAATTGTAGCAGAGGGCACTAACAGGGGGCATCTAAAGAATTAAGGTGAGATTGAGGGATTGGGAGATGATGATAGATAGGTGCTACTGAGGGATATAAAAGGAAGATGATTCATAGAATCCCAACAGTGTAGAAGCAGGCCCTTCAGTCCATCGAGTCTCTGAAGAGCATCCCACCCAGACCAAATCCCCTTACCCTATCCCTGTAACCCTGCAATTCCAATGGCTAAACCATCTACTCTGCACATCCCTGGACACTATGAGCAATTTAGCATGGCCAATCTTTGGACTGTGGGAGGAAACCGGAGTACACGGAGGAAACCCACACTGACACTTGCGGAACGTGCAAATTCAACACCGACTGTAGCCTGCAGGTGGAAGCGAACCTGTGAGGCAGCAGTGCTAACCACTGAGCTGATGTGCCGCTGAGATTGAGGGATGTGAGGTAAGGCTGAGGTCAGGGTACATGGGAGGAATGTGGTGGAGTTGAAATCGAGATATCTGGGGAAAGGCAGGGCTGAGGGGGCATGAGGAGAAAAGGGGAGATTGAGACATTTGGAAAGAATGTGGGATTGAGAGAGATAAAAGGGAGGAAGTGAGATAGAAGAATATGAGGAGAAGATTGGGCCGAGCGATAGGTGGAAGAAAAATATAGATGGGACTGAAGAACACGGGATTGACAGGTTCAAGGGAGATTGAGGGATAAATGTAAGGTGAGGCTGAGGGCTATGGGGAGGAAAAGTGCAGGTGGGATTGAGGAATATGGGAAAAGTGTGGATGAGGGATATAAGGAAGAAGGTGGGTAGTAGGATTGAGGGATATGGTGAGATGGTTGGAACAGAGATATTCCATGTTGAAATGAAATCTAAATTGGAAGATTACACCCTGCGCTTAGTGGGTCTCACCTGTCCACAATCAGTGCCCTCACCACTCTTGTTGAGCAGGTAGAGCTTTAATTCTATTTCTAAAAGCCTCTTACAGAAATCTTCCTGATCCTGCAAATCGTCTTATTGGCTGGTGGTCATGTAAGCCCAGACAGATTGAAGAGTAGCGATGGTGAGAAGCAAGCCTGTAATTATGTAGTCAAAGTGCACAAATAACCTGGGCTGTGGAACCAAACTCTCCTCCGCCTCTCACTGGAGCCCCTTGACACCTCGTTTCACTGAGCAGGAGTTGACTTACTTTCCTTTTTGTAAACTCATTTTTCTTCGTTAAAGTCAGGCTGGCTGTCCAAGTCAGTCAGAGAGAGAGAGACGGGGACAGAGGCAACACACACACACACACACACACACACATCAACTGCTGAGAAGAGCAGGCACCCAATGAACCGCTCGCGTGGCAAAGCTGGCACCGTTTGCTAACCCTGGTTGCTTGTTCTAAGAGGGCAACACACATAGGCCCAGAACAGGTAAAGGACAGCAGCGTTCCCTCTTGCCAAGGGATCACTCGTCATCCAGTTAACAAACGGTGAGCAGCTCAGTGGTTAGCACTGCTGCCTCCCAGTGCCAGGGACCCGGGTTTGATTCCACCCTCGGACGACTGTCTGTGTGAAGTGTGTATGTTCTCCCTACATCTGCGTGATGTTTCCTTCGGCTGCTCTGGTTTAACTCCCACAGTCCAAAGATGTGCATGCTAGGTGGATTGGCTGTGCTAAATTGCCCCATATCCAGGGATGTGCAGGCTAGGGTGGAGTGGCCATGGGAAATGCAGGGTTACAGGGATGGGCTGGTGAGTCTGGGTGGGATGCTCTTCAGAGGGTTAGGGTGGGCTCAATGGGCCGAATTGCCTGCTTCCACGCTGTAGAGATTCTATAATCGACCACTGCGTGTTCATTCTTTATTTTTGCTCATACCAACCATTTACTAATTAATTTTGTTTCAAACAAAGAAGAGAATTCAAGTTTGTACTCACTGCCTGTGCTGGGATTTGAACTTATTATCAAGGCCTGTGGAGTTACTAACCCAGTGACAGGGCAGAAAAGAATTAAGATCGTTGCCAAAGTTGTTTTTGTTTCAGGCCAAGAGTAAGAATTGCAAATTTCAAACAATCACAATAATTTCTACTACAGAAGAAAAAGGTTCTGCTCGATTGGCAAGTCAGGATATGTTCAAGTCTACAGCTTCTTTTTAAATTCAGAGTGTATGTTCCCAGTACAAATATGGTATCCTGAATCATCTACACATGTAGCTTGCAGCCATAGTGTCACCCCTGTTCCGATCTTTTGCCCAGAAGCCTTTTAAAGTGTAAAATTGAATGATGAGCAATTTGTGTTTTAATGCGTGACTTGATATCACATTCTGCTAATGTTAAAAATGCAATTATTTAAAAAGATGGACACTGTACTGTTGTGGGTCACACATTTTCATGAATTCAATTGACTTCAGGGAGAAAAGAAAGGCCTGACTGCCTATCTGCAGATTATCTACTGTAAATACCAAGGTGACTCCACAGATAAGAAAACAGAACCCCCTACTCAAACAGCAAGAGATGTATATACCACCTTTGACTCTGAAAACATCCTCAGGAATTCTGACAGGGGTGCAATAGAAAATAAATGACACCAGCCACAGGGGGAGCTACTGAGCATCCACACGGTTGGGTCCACACAGCGATGGCATCAGCCACAAACACAACCTTTTCAGTTACCTGGGAGCCTAATCATCCTCCATTGCTTTCATCAATGGCAACCCCTCAGTCAATCTGAGTCAACTTCCAACCCATTTCTCCTGTGGTCTAAGTTGTTATGCATGTTTGAAATTTGGTATTTTTGCATTTGTCCTGATGAGTGCAAAGTGAAAGGTTCAGGCAATGTTTCTCCCTTTTAGCACTATTCAAGTCCTGCACAACCAAGAGGCTTTTAGCCCAGACCACATCACTGTGGTCGCTTAGCTGGTGGTGAGAAGGGCACTACCTGTGAGACTCTTCTTGTATGCCCAGTGGATCTGCACCCCTGCACGCTGCCCTCAAAGCAGCTGCGGGATGGGGGTTGTGGTGTAGAGACTATCACAAATCTCCTTCTGGAATGTGCCTTTACAAAGTAACTCTGGAGAGAGATACAGTGGTGTTTTGTCCGGGTTCGTCCTGATCAGCTCCATGATGCAGGTAGATGCTCTACAGGCTGCTCCCCAGGATGCACACCGAGACAAAAGTCAAATGTACCTGGAGGATCATCAACTTGGTGAAGGATACTCTTTGGTCTGCCCAAAATTTGTTGGTCTTCAAAAGCAAGGAACTGACCCCAACTGAGCCCGGTAGACTGGCACATTCCGAGGTCCAGGACTACGTGCTAAGGGCTGCACTAAAGGTTGGGGCAACTGCCGCCAAGACGCAGTGGGGGAAAAAACCACTGTTTGAAGTCTTCCTGCTAAAGGTAAATGATCAGACCCTCCCAGTACCTCAAGTATATATGTAAATATAATCTTGCACAAGTAAGAGACGACTGTGGCTTGTCTGTCAGATACAAACTCCAAACAAACTTTTTGTTTCTAGCTGGGGCAGCACGGTGGCTCAGTGGTTAGCGCTGCTGCCTCATAGCGTCAGGGACCCGGGTTTGATTCCACCCTCGGGTGATGGTCTGTGTGGAGTTTGCACATTCTCCCTGTGTCTGCGTGGGTTTTCTCTGGGTGCTCCGGTTTCCTCCCACAGTCCAAAAATGTGCAGGCTAGGTGGCTTGGCCATGCTAAATTGTCCTGTAGTGTTCAAGGATGTGTAGCTTAGGGGGGTTATAGGGGGATGAGTCTGGGTGGGATGCTCCAAGGGTTAGTGTGGACTTGTTGGGCTGAAGGGCCTGTTTCCACACTGTAAGGATTCTATTCTATGATCCAACGTTTGTTTCAAAAACAGAAATTGCTGGAAAAGCTCAGCAGCATCTATGGAGAGAAATCAGAGTTAATGTTCAGTGTTAATCTGTTCTAAAGAAGGGTCACTGGACCTGAAATGTTAACTCTGATTTCTCTCCCACAGATGCTGCCAGACCTGCTGAGCTTTTCCAGCAATTTCTGTTTTTGTTTCTGATTTATAGCATCCGCAGTTTTTCTTTTGGCTTTTTCAATGTTGGTTTGTTCTCTTCATGTGTAACTGTACAGAACCAAACTGCCTTAGTGACTACGTATGTATAATTTTTATGAATAAAGTATATTTTTGAACTAAAATAATGACCACACCACTGCTAATTGAACCTCTTTTCTTCCGGTCCACAGCGAATGTAGTCATTTTCTCAGCCAGGACCCTTTCTCTCTCAGGAGACTCCTTAAGCAGACAGCCCCTTTCTCCATCCTCTGGACACTAACTAACTACCTGTACTTAATGGGGCTGAAGAACATCAGTGCCACAGATGTCTCTGCCCTTTTCTGCTGCAATAAAGCTTTCGTCTTCCTGCTCAGCTGGATCGTGCTGAAAGACCGGTTTATGGGCGTCCGGGTAAGTCCGCTCTGGGTTCAGTGGATAGCTCTGATACCCACCTCCGGACTCAGGAGATTGTGACGGAGCTGCCATCCAGCAGACAAAGTGTTAAATCTGAGGCCTGGTCCTGCTTTCACAGGTAGAGAAAAAATAAAATTCACCTTGAATGGGGGATTAATTCCCCTCGCTGGAACACAGCGCCTACAATAGTGCAGCACTGGCACTGCAAGTGTTAGTACAGATCTGTGAGTTTCGAGAAAAAGGTATTGGATAGGGGCTTAAGGAGAATACTTTAGTCTTTTATCTGATGAGAATGTAGAACTTGCAACTTGGGGCGTCACGGCGGCTCAGCAGTTAGCACTGCTGCCTCACAGTGTCAGGGACCCGGGTTCAATTCCAGCCTCAGAAGACTGTCTGTGTGGGGTTGACACATTCTTCCCTGCGTGGGTTTCCTCCGGGTGCTCTGGTTTCCTCCCCCAGTCCAAGGATGTGTAGGTTAGGGTGCACTGGCCATGCTAAATTGCCCTTAATGTCTAGGGATGTGCAGGCTGGGTGGGTTAGCCCTGGGAAATGCAGGGTTACAGGTACAGGGTAAGTTGCTCTTCGGAGGGGCAGTGTAAACTCGATGGGCCAAATGGCCTGCTTCCACACCATAGGTATTCTATGACTGTGCTACAAAGAGTGCCACTTAACACTGGGATATTGGCTAAACACCTGAGGGTGTTGAGAGGGAAGATGGGGGAGGCTCAATTAGCGTGTTACTATACACAACACAACTTCAAAAGGTAAAAGGAAAAATAGTGGAAAGGGTAAAAGAAAATTTTAGCAGCTTGGGGGAGAGTGGGCCTAATTGTGTAACTCTTTCAAAGAGGCTGGCATGGGCAAAGTGGGCTGAAAGGCCTCCTGCTGACTGATGAAAACCAACCAGTTTGGATGCTGTCCCGGGTTCTTGCTGTGCCTCTCTCCAGGTGGATGGACAGGGTTGGGTTCACCCATCTGTCACTCTACTCCATACAGATCGTGGCTGCAATCCTCTCCATTACTGGGATCGTGCTGATCGCCTCCGTGGACGGTTTTCGCCGCGATTCCATCATAGGGGTGGCGCTGGTCGTGGCATCCGCATCTACCTCTGCCCTTTATAAGGTGAGCGACCCCAGCCCAGGGGGTGGGGACATGGTTAAAGAGTTTGCATTAGTACAGCACCTCGTGTGGCCTCATGAAGGCCAATCAACTACTTTCCTGTAATGGAGCAAACGAGGCAGCCTGTGTTTGCGCACAGCAAGCTCCCAAAACCCACAGTAGGTAAAATGGCACACTTGCCTGATTCCAGTGTAGTCGAACAGGGAGACCTGGGTACATAGTTCTTTGAAAGTTGCGTCACAGGTAGACAGGGTGGTTCAGAAGGTATTTAGCACGCTTGCCTTTATTGCTCAGACCACTGAGTATGGGAGCTGGGACGTCATTTGAGGTCGTACAGGATGTTGGTGAGGTCACTTTTGGAGTACAGTGGACAGTTCTGGTTGCCCTGCTAATAGGAAGGATATTATTAAATTGGAGAGGGTTCAGAAAAGATTTACCAGGGTGTTGGCAGGACGGGAAGGTTTGCATTATAAGGTAAGGTTGGATAGGCTGGGACATTTTTTCACTGGAGCGTAGGAGGTTGAGGTATGACCTTATAAAGGTTTATGAAATCATGAGGGGCATAGATAAGGTGAATAGCAAAAGATCTTTTCCCAGGGTAGGAAAGTTCAAAACAAGGGGGCATATTTTTAAGGCAAGAGGAGAAAGATTTAAGACGGACCTCAGGGACAATTTTTTCCACACGGAGGGTGGTTCGTATGTGGAATGAACTGCCACAGGAAGTGGTAGATGCAGGTACAGTTACAACACTTAAAAGACATTTGAGCAGGTACACGAATAGGAAAGGTTTAAGGGGATATGGGCTTCACACAGGCAAGCGGGACTAATTTAGTTTGTAAAACTTAGTTGGTATGGACGAGTTGCACTGAATGGTCTGTTTCCGTGCTGTAGAGGGATAAATCTTGGCCCCAACCAAGGGGACAGCTCCCGCTCCTGCTCTTCTTCCACAGTATGTGTGGAATCCTTTACATTCATTCAAGAGAGTAGACGGGATTCTGAGTTTCACATCGCATCTGAAAGACATAGCCTTTGACAATGCAATACTCACCCTCCACAGCTACAGGAGCAGGAATTATCCGCTTGGATTGTGGTGTGTCTTGAACCCACAGCGATGTGACTGAGAGTCAGGTGTCTACAGCTGAGAGTGGCTCTCTCTTGGCTTCTTACACTTGCTTTGGAAGTGTTGTGTAGTCCACCCTCATTTCCCATAGAGGTATAGCGTGACAAGTGAACTGACATGGAAGCAGTGTCGGCGCATACCTTAGGGATAAATGTTCTTCAGATCAACAGGGTTGCAACACAAAGGGATGATCGTGGTACTTCAGGTACACAAAGTTCTGGTTAGGTCCCTTCTCGAGTAACTGGGATTCAGTTCTGGGCATCACACTTCAGGTCAGAGATATTTTGACTTTGGAGGGGACACAGTATGGAGAGATGTTTTATCCCAGAGGGCTGCTAGCCTGTGGAATTCACTTCCCAGAAACAGTGGAGGCATTGGATTCGTTCAGGGCTCAGTTAGATAGATTTTTAATACACAAGGGTATCAAGAGTTATGTGGGGACAGACTGCAAAATGAAATTGAGACAACAATCAGATCAGTCATGGCCTTATTGAATGGCAGAGCAGGTTTGAAAGCCCAAAATGGTCTACTCCTCCTGCTAAATCCTATATACCAACAGGTTCAAGAACAGCTTCATCCCCACAGTTATCAGACTTACGAACAGACTTCTCATTTATCAGAGTTGACCTTTCTCTGCACCTTCTCTATAGCTGTAACACTATATTCTGCATTCTGTTCTATTACCCTGATTTGCCTGGATAGCACGCAAAACAATACTTTTCACTGTATTTCGGTCTATGTGACAATAATAAATCAAATCAAATGTTGCTAAATTCACCACAATGGCACTGTGCTAATTATGAGGACAGGTTACAAAAATTAGGTTTGTATTCACTTCAAGTAGATCAAAAGATTTCTGGTTTGGGGCGGGGGGTTGGCGGTGGTGGTGAGGCATTGGCATGGGTTTGATGTCTTTTGGGCATTTATTCAAGCTGGGGTTAAACAAGAAGACACATACAGGAGGAATGTTGTTTGCCCTGAGTTAATCCAGTGTGCCTTGGCCAACAGGTTCTGTTTAAGCTCCTACTTGGCAGGGTGAGCTGCAGGGAAGTGGCCTTCTTCCTCACTGCACTGGGTGCCTTCAACCTCCTCTTCCTCAGCTGGGTCGCTGTCATCCTGTACATCACTAGAGTGGAACACTGGCCCTCTGCCAGGGACGTACCCTGGCACCAACTGTGTGGACTGGCTGTTCTTCTCTCAGGTATGTGAGTGCATTTCACCTCCTCCTCATATAGGATCACTCTGGGGTGGTCAAACCAAATGACGCCGATTTGCTGGGTCTGTCTGGCAAGCTAGGTCACCGAAACTATAAAGAACTGCTGGCTGTGAGGAGTGTAGGTGAAAAGGTTGGACTGCCTGGTCCTATAAAACAGCTTCTAATTCAGCGCCAATTGGGCAATCCTCTGAGGCTGCATGGTAGCTAATGTGAGAAATGTAAATGGCACGCACTTGTAGCTCACTGGAATACCAGTCGTGGGAGTGTTTGATGGAGACTAGAGGCAGCTATACTCTGTACTTAGCCCTATGTTGTAACTATCCTGGGTGAGTTTGATAGGGACAGTGCTTACTCTGGAGTCTTACTCTGAATTGTTCTCAAATGACCAGGGAGACCAGAACCAGGGGTGTCACAGCCTAAGGATATGGGGTAGGCCATCTTAGGATTGAGATGAGGAGGAATTTCTTCACCCAGAGACTTGCGAGCCTGTGGAATTGTCTGCCACAGGAAACTGTTGAGGCCAAAACATTGAAGACTTTCAAGAAAGATGTAGATATAGTTCTTAGGACCAAATGAATCAAAGGACTTAAAGAGAAAGTGGGATGGGTAGTGAATTGGATGATCAGCCATGAACATATTGCATGGCTTACTCCTGCTCCTATACTCTATGTTTCTATGAATTGCATGGGAATGTTTGACAATACAGTGCAGAGAAACTCATGTTCTTACTATAGGACTGTGACAGATTGGTGAGTAGGGGCTGAACATCTACACTGAACCACAAAAGTTTTCTTTCTCTTTCAGTATTCAATGTCGTGATCAACTGTGGAGCTACTGTAACCTTCCCTGTCTTGGTGTCACTGGGAGTCTTTCTCAGCATACCTGTAAACGCTGGTAAGGCTATTCCAGGAGCTCCCTCATAATGCAGCACATATCATGCAAGACATCAGATATTAGCTAGCCCTATAATTGGGTTCATACTCCCTGTCCAAAGTGTATATTTAAACTAATGTTTAGACAATTAAACACTATACAATCTATCTAAACAAGGCACTACAGCAAACAGTCCGCAGAGTCTATTCACATCACACATTACTGCAGTCTACAGAGTCTATTTACACCACATGTCAGTCAAAACATTCACGTTCAAATGCAACAAGATCTGGACAATATCCAGGCTGGGGCTGACAAGTAACATTTGTACCACACAAATGGCAGGCTATGACCATCACCAATAAGAGACAATCTAACCACCACTCCTTGACATTCAATGGTGTTACCATCACAGAATGATAAATAGAATCCCTACAGTGTGGAAACAGGCCATTTGGCCCAACAGGTCCACACCGCCCCTCCGAAGAACACCCCACCCAGAACCATTCCCCTAACCCTGTATTTCCCAAGTTCAACACACCTAACCTAAACGTCCCTGGGCACTATGGGCAATTTAGCATGGCCAATCCACCCTAACCTGCACATCTTTGGACTGTGGGAGGAAACTGGAACACGGAGGAAACCCCACGCAGATACGGGGAGAATGTGCAAACTCGCACACAGACAGTCGCCCGAAGCTAGAGTCGAACGCGGGTCCCTGGTGCTATCAATGTCCTGGGGCGGGGGGTAATAATCATTGGCCAGAAACTCAACTGGACTCACCACATAAACACAGTACTTACAAGACAAGCTCAGAGGTTAGGAATAGTGCGGTGAGTAGTTCACCTCCATGAGTCCCCAAAGCCTGTCCATCATCTACAAGGCAAGTCAGGAACATGATGGAATACTCCCCAGATGCCTGGATGAGTGCTACTCCAACAACTCAAGAAGCTAGACACCATCCAGGTCAAAGCAGCCTGGTTGACTAGCATGACATCCACAAGTATCCACTCCCTCCACCACCAATGCTCAGTAGCAGCAGTGTGTACCATCTACAAAGGGGACCGTAGGAATTCACCGAAGATCCTCAGACACCATCTTCCAAACCCACGACCACTTCCGTCTAGCAGCATATATAAGGGAACACCATCACCTTGAAGTTCCCCGCCAAACCACTCACCGTCCTGACTTAGATATATATCGCCGTTCCTTCACCGTCGCTGGGTCAAAATCCTGGAATTCTCTCCCTAATGGCATTGCGGTCAATCCATTGTGGATTGCAGCAGTTCAAGAAGGCTGCTCACCACCACCTTCTCAAGGGGCAACTAGGGACAGGCAATAAATGCTGGCCAGCCAGCAACGCCCACATTCACAAAACGAATTAGCACATTAGTGCAATTGATGGAGTCTATGTAAACAGAGCGTGACAGCAAACAGTCAACAGATTCTATTCACACTTCACATTGTAGCAAAGCGTCTCCAAAATCTATGTAAACATTACATTGCAGCTAAGATTTACAGGATTCATTTAACTAGCACACTACTCAAACTGTCTACGGCAGTAAATAATTTACAGAATGGATTTAAAAAGAAAGATTCCACAAACTGCAGCAAACAGAACTCTTGCAGCAGTTCCAGTATTTCCCGGTAAAAGCTGTGAGATTTCGCCATTAAATATGAGAATGAAAGATACATATGAAATTAAAACCATGATCACTTACAGATTTGTGGTCTCCAGGTGAAATTGACCAGGGAAATATTCCAGTGTTGGAAATAAAAATTGCAACGTAATTCTACCACTTTGTTCACTGCCATTTCTCGATCTCTCCCTTTATGTTCACAGTCACTGATATTTATTGCGGAGCGATGCCAGGCCTTGGTGAAGTGAGGCTAGCTGCCCTTCTTGTCCTTTGCCTTGCCTTCTTGCTTCTGCTGCTGCCAGAGGAATGGGACTCCATCGCTCTGGATCTCCTGACCAAGCTCAGAGGAGAGACTGCGAAGGGGGAACTGGGGCCCGAAAACACCGAGAGCGGGTCGCAGGTCGCCGGTCGGGGTCTACATCAGGGTGGCTGGGGTGGGCTCCTTAGTCACCAGTCTGAGGAGCTCGTAGGTGAGGGGCAGTCCCACAGAATAGGGGGATGTTCCATGCTCCAAATCAATGAATTAACTAAATAGATGAAAGATGGCAGCCGATGTGTTGCAGCTGTAGTATGTAGAGGCTGGTGGACCCCAGTGCATTCCATTGTGACCACTTCCTGGCTGCTCCAGGAACTTCAGCAGTTGGTGGAGCATAGGAAATCGAGAGGCGACCTTATAGAAGTCTATAAAATGGTTAATGGTAGTTGTCTTTTCCCTAGGGTGGGGGATTTCAAGACTAGGGGGCACATTTTTAAGGTATGACGAGAGAGACTTAAAAAAGACAGGACAGGCAAATTCTTGTTTTACACAGAGGGCGGCTCGTGGGCGAAATGAACTTCCAGAGAAAGTGGTGGATGTGGGTTTAATTACAACGTTTAAAAGTATTTGGAGAAGTACATGAATAGGAAAGGTTTGGAGGGATATGGGCCAGGAGCAGGCAGGTGGGATTAGTTCGGCATGGACTGGTTGGACCAAAGGGTCTGTTTCCGTGCTGTGTGACCCTATGAGCTGGAACCTCAGCTGTGGACACTCTTGACACTTCTGGGAGGGGAGGGGGTGGTGGGGGGGAAGAGATACCTGGACACTGTTTCAGGAGGCTGTCACACCATTTAGATGAACTACATCAAATCTGATCCGTGTTCAGGGATGTCAGTGAATTACAGATATTTCTACAAGATTTCCTGAAACAGAACCTTTGGGGGAAAAGTACAGCAAAATAGTGATTCAGAACATTTTCTGAAAGGTACAGATTACCCAAGCAATATAAATTTTATGCCACAAATATTCAAAGAAATAATGAATGGGTTGGGAATAAAACAAGTGACTCCTTTCACTCTGGGGGCTGTGTAGGAAAATGGTATTGAAGTAATAGATTGGTCATGATCCCACTGAATGGTGGGGCAGGTTTGAGGGGCTGAATGGCCTATTTCTTACATTCCAAGATGGAGGAGGCAGGGGATTGTACTGACCAGCTCACAGTGGTGTAGTGACAAGATTTCTTTCACTAAAGAAACTGAGAAGTCACAGGAACAGTGGGCTCTGATTGGGGTGGGGGGGGTCAGGGGGAGTCGACGGGTGGGGGCACAGGGCAAGTTAGGAAATAAGGAAGGGAATGGGTCTGTGTCTTTACAGACCCCATCGGAGTAAAAAGGGTGACATCTTCTCCACTAAAATGACTGCGTCCAAGAGGAGTGCCCTCTCTCCTGACGCTCGAGTGGAGATTCTGAAACTAAAACAGTCCATGTACAGCATTAAAGGCCATTATCCAGCATGAATTACTTTGACACACAGCACAGAAACAACAGCTTTATCATTTGAAATCCAGTAAAATGCTCATTACCGCAGAGGTTCTGGCTATTAGTTTGACGCTGAGTTGACACAAAATACCGTTGTTTTAGAGATACTTGTACAAAAAGATAACGTAAATGACAAGATACCCAGGACTGATATAATTATGGTCTACTCATTGATGGTAGTCTTGTGGAGGCTACCTTCTGGCCACACTGGTAAGATGATGCCTTGTTGTCAAGGGCAGTCATTTACACCTCACTTATATCTCAATTCGAACCTTTGCTCTTCTGAGTGCTAATTACTGCTGTCACTGCTGCTAATCCCTCCCTGGCTCCTGATTCAGCAGTTACTCTCCTAATCTTTAGAAATTTCCTCTAGCGTGCTGCTTCCACATCTTTCATCATTCAAGCAGAATAATAGAATGGTTACAGCACAAAAGGTGTTAATTTGGGTCTCTGCCTACTGTCAGCATGACTGACTTGGCTAGTCATACTCCCTGACTAAATCCCGTGACAATACTGTCACTTTAAAAGGTTATTTTGTCCTGGTTATTTTTTTGAAGAGAGGTTGCATGACGAGGTACCAAACTGGCTACTGAGGTTGGCTTAGGTGAATAAGTTTGAGGCTTTGCGTTTCTTTTAATTTAGAAGAGTGGAAGCAGCCTGGGTGTGGCCAGTTCTCACAGACCAAGTTTTCTAGTTCGTTTTCTTTAGGTTTTGGAGTCTCAAGAGTTGGAGTTTCCATAAATGATTCATAGCTGCTACTCTCTCTGAACCTTCTCTTGATGATTTTTCCTCCTAGACTGGAGAACTGCATGTAAGAATCTGTGTCTGAATTTGCCTTTTTACCAAGGAGTGTGTTTATGGATGTTACTTAGTTAATTAGTAATCGGTACTGTATCTAATATTTGGTTAAGTTTTCCAATAGTTAAGTTATTCTAAATTCCTCTTTCTTTTGTGAGTATTTTAACTATAGTGTTTAAATAAATTGTGCTTTTCTTAACGTCGAGTAGTTTGACCAGTCGCATTGTGTCTGTAACACAGCATTTCACATCTACCTACAAAATAAGAAAAACTTATCTGGGTTACTTCCTTAAAATATTTTGAAGAGTTCTGGTCCGGTTCCTAACATTCCCTGCAAATGTCTTGTCAAATGAACACATGAGCTAGGAGTGGGAAGGGGCCAATCAGCTCCTACAGCCCACACTGCTATTCAATAAGATCAAGGCTGATTCTCTTCAGATAATTATCAAATTCCTTTTCCAAAGCCATGATTTAACTTCCCCACCATTCTCTCAGGCAGTACACCCCAGATCCTAACCACTTGCTGAGAATAATGTGTTTTTCTTGACGTCTCCATTACTTCTTTTGCCAATCAGTGCCCTGTGGTTCTCAATCCTTCTGCCAACGGGAACATTTACTGTCCATTGACTCTATCCAGACACCTCAGGACTTTGAACACCTCCATCAAATCGTCTCTTAATCTTCTCTTCTCCAAAAACAGTCCAGCTTCTCTAATCTATTCACACTTCACATATCTCTTTCCCTTTCATTTGTTATAACCCGGAAAGTGAAGGATAGTACTGGAGCCAATCTTTACACAGTCTCACATTTATTTATGGAGTGAGAGATGACAAGCATACACTACCAGCTCAGTTTCAGAAATTCTTCTTACATTATTTTGAACAATTAAATTAAATTAAAACCAATTAATCAAGTTGCAGAGCGACAGCCCCTTAAAGGAGTCCTAATACAAAAATTAAAACTTTAAAGCAAGCTTAAGAAAATGAAATTAAAATGTAATTTTGGAGTGGGGAATAATGCATTCAAGTCTCTGTGATGCTCATGAGTTACAGCAGCACACTGGTTATGCCACATTTCCACTTCCCACATGCCACTAATCGTAATTATTAAACAATTAATATCTTTGACCCACTGATTATCATTGTAGGTGCCCCTTCAATTTCCTGATCATCATCTCTCACACAAACACCCTTTTGCTTCACCAAGAGGTCAAAGTGGTCTCACTCAGCGACCTCTGGCCTGGGTAGCCACTCAAGAGAGTCGAGGTCCACGTTGCCTCCACATAGCACCACACAGACGTTGTGGAGATTTCCCGGGAGGTCTCGGAACCGGCGGGAGAGGACCACTGCCACCCCAAGGCCAGCGGTGGGCTCAATCACCAGCTTCGCCCGCTCCCACATCAGCCGTGTTGCCTGCTGCAAAAGATAAAGAGCTGCAGTTGTAGAATACTGTCACCACTTCGGGACGTCCTTAGAATACCACACGTAACTCTGGCCGCCAGATTGTAACAATGACATAGAGGCAGTGGAGAGGATGCAAATGGATACAGGATGATACCAGAAATGCGTGGGAATACATGTCAGGAAAGGGTGGACAGGCTGGGACTCCCCTCTTCCAAAACAGAACGGCAGAAAGGTGACCTATCAGAGGTTTGTAAAATTCTGAAAGTTTTCAACTAAGTGGAAACTGAGACGATGTAGCCTCTTGTGAAGCCATAAGACTATAAGATATAGGAGCAGAATTAGGTCATTCAACCCATTGACTCTGCTCCACCATTCGATCATGGCTGATTTGTTTCTCAAACCTATTCTCCTGGTAACCCTTCATCCCCCTACCAATCTAGATTCAGAGTCCTCAACTGCTCCTCGTATGACAGCCCTTTATCCTCAGGATAGAATATAGAACATAGAACATTACAGCGCAGTACAGGCCCTTCGGCCCTCGATGTTGCGTCGACCTGTGAAACGAATCTGAAGCCCATCTAACCTACACTATTCCATTATCATCCATATGTTTATGCAATGACCATTTAAATGCTCTTAAAGTTGGCGAGTCTATTACTGTTGCAGGTAGGACATTCCACGCCCTTACTACTCTCTGAGTAAAGAACCTATCTCTGACATCTGTCCTATATCTATCACCCCTCAATTTAAAGCTATGTCCCCTCGTGCTAGCCATCACCATCTGAGGAAAAAGGCTCTCGCTGTCCACCCTATCTAATCCTCTGATCATCTTGTATGTCTCTATTAAGTCACCTCTTAACCTTCTTCTCTCTAACGAAAACAGCCTCAAGTCCCTCAGCCTTTCCTCATAAGACCTTCCCTCCATACCAGGCAACGTCCTGGTAAATCTCCTCTGCACCCTTTTCAATGCTTCCACATCCTTCCTATAATGCGGCGACCAGAACTGTCTGCAATACTCCTAGTGCGGCCGCACCAGAGTTTTGTACAGCTGCAACATGACCTCATGGATCCGAAACTCAATCCCTCTACCAATAAAACCTAACACACCGTACGCCTTCTTAACAACCCTATCAACCTGGGTGATCATTCTTGTTAACCTCCTCTGGAGACCCTCCAAAGCCAGCACATCCTTCCATACATATGGGACCCAAAACTGCTCACAATATTCTAAATGCTACCTGACCGGGGCCTTACACAGCCTCAGCAATACATCTCTGCTCTTGTATTCTAGCCCTCCTAAAACAATGCTAATATTGCATTTGCCTTCGTAACTACCAACTAAACCTGCATGTTAACCTTAAGACAATCCTGAACTAGGACTCGCAAGTCCCTTTGTGCTTCAGATTTCCGAAGCCTTTCTCCATTTAGAAATAGGCACCTCTATTCTTCATAACAAAGTGCATCACCTCACTTTCCCACATTGTATTCCATCTGCCACTTCTTTGCCCACTCTCCTAGCCTGTCCAATTCCTTCTGCAGCTCCCCCACCTCCTCAACACTATCTGCCCCTCGACCTACCTTTGCGTCATCTGCAAGCTTAGCAACAATGCCCTCAGTTCCTTCGTCTAGATCATTAACATATAACATGAGTAGTTGCAGTCCCAACACACACACACACACACACCCCTGCAAAATTCCACTATCACCAGCCACCATCCTGAAAAAGACTCTTTTATCCCACTCTCTGCCTTCTACCATTTAGTCAATCCTCTATCCATGCCAGTACCTTGCCCTATCACCATGGATTCTTATCTAATTTGGCAAGTGAAGCACCTTGTCAAAGGCTTTCTAGAAATCCAAATAGATCATGTCCACTGGCTTTCCTTTGTCTAACTTGCTTGTTGGCCTCCTCAAAGAATTCTAACAGATTGGTCAGACATGATCTCTCCTTGACAAAGCCATGCTGACTCAGCCCTATTTTACCATGCACTTCCAAGCAATCTCATCCTAATCAATGGACTCTAAAATCTTACTAACGACTGAGGTTAGGTTAACCAGGCTATAGTTTCCTGTCTTCTGCCACCCTCCCTTCTTAAACAGGGGTGTTACATTCGCCATTTTCCAGTCTTTTGGGACACCCCCGACTCGAGCGATTCCTGAAAGATCACCACAACTGCCTCCACAATCTCCTCAGCTATCACCTTCAGAATCCTGGGACATAATCCATCTGGTCCGGGTGATTTCTCCACCTTCTGACCTTTCAGCTTCCCCAGCACCTTCTCCTTAGTGATTGCTACTGCACTCACTTCTACTCCCAATTCTCTTGAAGTTCTGCTATGTTGCTGGTGTCTTCCACTGTGAAAACGGATGCAAAGTACCTACTCTGTTCCTCCACCATTTCTTTGTTCCCCGTTACTACTTCTCCAGCCTCATTTTCCAGCAGTCCAATGTCCACTCTTGCCTCTCTCTTACCTTTTATGTACCTGAAACAAAAACTCTTGTGATCTTCTTTTATATTACTAGCTACCTTACCCTCATATTTCATCTTTCCCTCCCTTATTGTTTTTCTTGTTATCTTCTGGTAGTTTTTAAAGGTTTTGTCTGCCCACTAATCTTCACCACATTGTGTGCTTTTTCCTTTTGCTTTATTGTTGTCCCTGACTTCCCTTGTCATCCATGGTTATCTCATCTTCCCCTTAGTATATTTCTTCTTCCTTGGGGTGAATTTATGCTGTGCTTTCCAAATTACTCTCACAAACTTGCAATTACCATGCCGTTGCTGCTCCACTGTCTTCCCTGCTCGGCTCCTCTTCCAACCAACTCTGACCAGCTCCTCCACCACGGCTTTGTAGTTACCTTTACTCAATCGTAAAATTGCCAGAGGTAGAGCTTAACTCCAGGCAATCAACGTAAGATGATCATTAAGAAATCCGACTGGGAATTCAAGAGAAACATCTTTCCCCAGTGAGTGGTGAGAATGTGGAACTCGCTCCACAGGGAGAGACGGAAGTGAATTGTACAGAAACTTTTAAAGGGGACAAGCAAATGAGAGAGAAGGGAACAGAGTGTAATAGTGGATTTGGATAAGAAAAGGTAGGAGAAGGCTTAAGTGGAGCAGAAACACCAGCATAGACTGGAAGGACCGGCTTTTCTGTGCGCATATCCTGTGTAATATGTCCCAAAACACTTCACAGCCACTGAGGTACTTTGCCAAGCGTAGTCACTGTTGTAATGTAGGAAATGTGGCAGCCATTTTGCATACTCAAAGATGCCAACAACATGAAATAATGACTGAACATTTGCTTTGTGATATCCACTGAGGGACAAGATAGTGGGGAGAACAGCACCTCTATGCTTCAGAATACTGGCGTTTTAAGTCCATGTGAAAGGTGGGTAGAGGCCTCAGATTAACCAAAAAAAGACACTACTTCTGTTGGGTATAGTACTCCCTCAGTACAGGCACTGGAAGAATCAACCTGGGATTTGTGTTCCAGTCCTTGGGGCGCTCAGACCAATAATTCACTGACTTTGGTGTCAGTGCCACCCACTGAGTCATGGCCAACATGATCAGAACTGTAGCTGCAGTTTCCTCGATGGTTCAAGTCACGACTGACACCACCTGAAAAGCATAACTGGCACCAGTGCCCTTGGGGATATATAACCTGTCGAGGATTCTGACATCCATTCAGCGATACTGGCTGAAAACATCACTCTGCTCACTTCACCCAGTATTCTTGAATACCTTGCTGCACCATCTGATAACATGTGTAGGCAGGTGGAGTACCAGCTGGTAGTCAATCTCCATGCCAGCTGCTCCCTGGAATTGGCGAGGATGGGGGAAGGGGTAGATGTCTAAATATTGCATGGCTGAAATTCAACATGCGGGTTGAGGGGCGGATACCTTAATCTCTTCCTCACTGACAGTGAACACATCATCCACCAGGTCCCTGATGATGGGCCAAGTCTTCTCCCCGATGCTGGTCTTCACTCCATCAGCCACCGTCACAGGAGGGCTTGCGTTGGGGGTCAGGCAGCCACACTGCTTGGACCGATAACAGTCATCTGCATTCTCTGGTTCTGCTGCATAGATTTTGACCTGCGGGCGTTGAGTCTGTGGAAGATAGAGTGGGTGGTAGAAGGGGACAGGAATGGAAGGCATGAGCATGACATCTAATGCAACGCGTCTAACACGCTGCGTGTTTTCGTGCTGTTAGCTCCAGGTCATTGTGTGAAACATAGTTAGTGTCCGTTACTTGCTCACCTCCCATCCACAAACCCTACCTTGATGGCGACTGCAATTCCTGAGATCATTCCTCCACCGCCAACTGGAACCACCACTGCCTGTACATCTGGGACCTGTTTGACATGAGACCAAGGCGTTAGAAGACGGATTATGATGGAACAGGGCATTTGGACAGCAACATAGGAACAGGTGTAGGCTGTTCAGCCCGCACTTTGATCCCCTTTACCCACACAGATCTCATAACCCTTTAAGCCACTGATAATCAAAAATTTATCAACCTCTATTTTAGACATACTCAAAGATTGAACGTCCACAGCCCACCGTGATAGAGAATTCGAAAGATTCATAACTCTCTGGGTAAAGCAAATTTCTCATCTTGGTCCTAAATAGCAACACCTTTATGTTTAAGTTGTGCTTCTCAGCTCTAGACTCTCCAAGCAGGAAAACATCTTACCCTATCTATCTGTTTAAGTATTTTGTAGGTTTCAATTAGATCACCCCTCACTCTTTGATACTTTAAAGAAATCAGGCCTAATTTCTCTTTATAGGACAGCCCTGCCATCTCAGGAATAAATCTGAACCTTCATTGTGCTCCCTCTATGGCGAAAATATCTTTCTTGAGACATGGAGATCAAACTGCACACAGTACTCCAGATGTGGTCTAACTAAGTTTTAATGCAATTGAAGCAAGATGGTTCTGTGCTGCAGAATAAGGTACAATTGTGCAGACACCCGGATTTCGGTCAAGATTTTGGGTACATGACTGATTTGAGGCATGATGTGTGTCGAAGGCAGAATGCTCAGGGGAAAACAGATGTAATTGGACCAATAGTTCTCCACCACTCTGGGTTTTTCCTCCCCTTGTTGAGAGCGGTTAGCAAATTATATGGGATCTTGAGCTTCAGATAAAGAGGAGCTAATTCAAAAGGAGGGATGGTCGCTGCATAAAGCGCTGGTTAGGCCACAGCTGAAGTACCGCATCCAGTTCTTGGCACCACACTTTAAGAAGGATGTCCTCAAGAGGGTTGAGAGGTGACTTAACAGAATGGTTCCAGGAATGACGTTAGTCAATGATGGTTATAGCATCACAGACAGGGATGATTAAAGCTCAGGATACCAAGATGTGGAAACAGTTTGGGTAGAAGTGAGAAATGGCAAAGTCAAGAAGTCACTTGTGGGAGTGGTGTTAAGCCCTTAACAATAACCACATGGCAGGGTGGAGCTAAAGAAAGAAATAGAGAGAGTTTTCCAGAAAGCATGGTGAATGTTCTTGATTATCAAGGGGATCAAGGGTTACAGGGAGAAAGTAGGAGAATGGGGTTGAGGAATTTATCAGCCATGATTGAATGGCAGAGCAGACTCGATGGGCTGAATGGCCTAATTTCTGCTCCTATGTCTTATGGTCTTATGAAGCAAGTTAAGTATGAAGTAATATACATACAAACATCAGACAGACAAGGGTAGAATGTTTCGGGGATATTTCTGGAGTTAACCATAATAAAGGTACCTCTAAGTAGCAACAATCATAATACTATTGAATTTTATAGTCAGTTTGAGGGAGAGAGGAGTGGATCCAAGACTATGTCTTCAAATTTAAACAAGGAAATTATGAGGGCATTAAAGCAGATCTGGCAAATTAGGTTAAAGGAGAGCGCTATAGGAATGTAGCGACAAACATTTAAGGGGATATTCAGAATATAAAGAACAGATACTTTCCAACGAATAAGTAAAATTCCAAGGTATGGATCTATCATCCACGGTTAACGTGAAACGTTGAAGATATATCCTTTTCTTCAAGTTTAATATAATTATGCAAAGACACGTGGCAGGTCATAAGATTGGACAAAATAAAGAAAGAGGGAGCAAAGAATTAAGAAGAACGGAAACTGGAGAATGAGAGAAAGTGGGCCAGAAATATAAAAATAGATAGAGTTTCTATAAATATGTAAAGAAGGAAGACTTTAACAAAGTGACCTTTGGGTGTATAGAAAGTGAGACTGGAGAATTGTTAGTGGAAAATAAGGAAATGGCAGATTACCTGAACAGGTATTTTCAACCAGTCTTCACTGTGGAAGACACATGTAACATCCCAGAAGTAGCAATAAATGAGGAAATGGAAAGGAAGAAGGAAAATTAGAAGAGTGGTACTGAGTAAATTGTTGGAACTGTGCCTGCGCCCTGATGGTCTTCATCCGAAGGTATTAAAAGAAGGAGCTAGTGAGATAGTTGATGCTTTGGTTTTAAATTTCCAAAACTCGCTTGCTTTGGGGACAATCCAATTAATTTGCAAGACAGTTAATTTAACTCCTCTGTTCAAAAGGGAAGGAAATAATAGACCAGTTACTTAATAACCTTCATCGGAAAAGTGTTACAAGCTATTGTTTAAAAATTTATAGCAGAACACTTGGATATCTTCATGGTAATCAGCAAAGCCAACAAACTTTTATGAAAAGGAAATCAAGCTTGACCTATTTATCGAAGTTCGTTGTGGAAAAAGGAGAAACTGCGAATGTAGAAACATAGAAAATAGGAGTAGGACATTCAGCCCTTTGAGCCTGCTCTGCTATTCAATATGATCATGATGTGAGGTGCCAATGTTGGACTAGCGTGGACAAAGTCAGAGGTCACACGAGACCAGGTTATAGTCCAATAGGTTTATTTGAAATCACAAGCTTTCGCAGTGCTTCGAAAGCTTATGATTTCAAATAAACTTGTGGGACTACCACCTGGTGTCATGTGACTTCTTACAACATGATCATGGCTGATCACCCAACTCAGTTACCTACTCCTGCTCCCCTCCCCCCACACCATTAGCCTTTGATCCCTTTAGCCCGAAGACCTACATCTAAATCCTTCTTGAAAACATTCAATGCTTTGGCCTCAGAGTTAGTAAGCAGGTTATCTCAGAGCACAACAGGACCTTGATTAGATGGGCCAAGATGTGGCAGGTGGAATTTAATTTAGATAAACGTGAGGTGTTGCACTTTGGTAGGGCAAATCAGGGCAGGACTTATACATTTAATGGTAGGGTCCTAGGGAGCGTTGCCGAACAAAAAGACCTTGTGGTGCAGGTTCTAGATCCTTGAAAGTGGAGTTGCAGGTAGACAGGGTGGTGAAGAAGGCATTTCGTACACTTGCCTTTATTGGTCAGTGCATTGAGTATAGGAGTTGGGAGGTCATGTTGCAGCTGTACAGGACACTGGTAAGGCCACTTTTGGAATACTGCATTCAATTCTGGTCTCCCTGCTAATATGAAAGATGTTGTTAAACTTGAAAGGGTTCAGAAGAGATTTACAAGGATGTTGCCAGGGTTGAAGGGTTTGAGCTATAGGGAGAGGCTGAATAGGCTGGAGCTATTTTCCCTGGAGCGTCAGGGGCTGAGGGGTGACCTTACAGAGGTTTATAAAATCATAAGGGGCAATAGGGTGAATAGCCAAGGTCTTTTGCCCCAGAGTACGGGTGTCCAAAACTAGAGGGCATAGGTTTAAGGTGAGAGGGGAAAGATTTAAAAGGGACCTAAGGGGCAACTTCTACAACAGAGGGCGATGTGTGTATGGAATGAGCTGCCACAGAAAGTGGTGGAGGCTGGTGCAATTACAACATTTAAAAGGCATCGTGATTGGTATATGAATAGGATGGGTTGAGAGGGATATGGGCCAAATCCTGGCAAATGGGACTAGACTAATTTAGGGTATGTGATCGACATTGGCAAATTGGACCAAAGTATTTGCTTCCATGCTGTACGACTCTATGACTCTACGTACGATTGTCAGACTTCCAGAGGCATTTGATAAGGTGCCGCATCAAAGGTTATTGCGAAATACAAAAGCAGATGATGTAGGAGGTGGCATACTGGTATGGATAGAATATTGGCTGGCTAACAGGTAGTAGGGCAAAAAGGGTCTTTTTCAGGTTGGTGAGATCTAATGAGTGGTTTGCCATAGGGATCCATGTTGAGACCTCAACTGTTTACATAGTTTATGAACTACGTGGATGAAAGGATGCAAGGTATGCTTGTCAAATTTGCCAACAACACAAAGATAGGTAGGTGAGTAAATTGTTACATCATCATTAGGAAGGCCACAAAAGACATAGATAAATTGACAGAGTGGGCAAAGATGTGGCAAATAGAGTATAATGTGGCAAAATATGAAATTATCAATGGGCCATTGCAGCAGTGGCAGACATACCAACTGGTAATGCAGAGTTTACTGTGCAATGCTGAGCTATGAGAGTTTCACATTGCTTCTTTGAACTGGGAATATGGATACCTCTTCAAATCAAAATCGCTCCATGCCAAATCTGGGCTGTGTAGAAGTTGGATGCAGGTCAATGGTACACACTCCAAACCCAAATCCCTGTTACACACAATGGCTCCATCACCTAATTCCATATTTTCAGACACAATGGTTCCTGTTACCTGTTGCAAGATCTCCAATCCAATGGTGCCTTGACCCGCAATCACAAGGGGATCCTGGTTAGAGTGGATCAGAATCCCTTGGGTCTCCATAATGACCTTGGACACAGTTTCCGTTCTGGACTAATGGAAGATAAACGATAACAGACCAAGAATTAATTTCAGAGCAGCATGGCTCCCTCGAACATGCTAGAAACTACATCTACATTTACACACACAGCCATGTCCTTTGCAAAGGGAAAGAACATGCCTACCCATTGCATCTTGTCAACTGAGCAAAGCTTGGTGACAGAAAGTGCTGGAGAACCTCAGCAGATCTGGCTACACCTGTGAAGAGAGAAACAGAGTTAATTTTCAAGTCCGGTACAAGTCTTCTTCAGAACTGTGGTAGACAGCACTCAAAATGTAACTCTGTTTCTCTCTCTACAGATCCTGCTAGACCTGTTGAGCTTTTTCACACTTTCTGTTTTTTATTTCAGACTTCCAGTATTTGTAGTATTTTATTTTTATTAGCGCTTTGGGGACTTTGATTAGAGCCATCCCCTGGGACATTTGCCATGGAAATGCCTCAACAAACATAGTAAATTTGCCATTCAATTAACACCCTCTTCTAATGCAATATAAAATGTTCTTCCCTTTGAAATTTGGCATTCTGGCAACTGCATCCTCATGCGTGCAAGATGAAAAGTTCAACAGTATGTCACTTCTTTCAACAGCAACTAATTTGCTGTAGTCCTACAGCAACGCCTCTCCTTCATCAGGAAGCTAAGGAAATTTGGCATTTCCATAAAGATACTTACCAATTTTCATAGATGCACCATAGAAAGCATTCTGTCTGGATGCGTCACAGCTTGGTATGGCAACTGCTCTGCTCGGGACCATAAGAAACTACAGAGTTGTGAACACAGCCCAATCCATCACACAAGCCAACCTTACATTCATTGACTCTATCTATACTTCCTGCTGGCTTGGAAAGGCAGCCAACATAATCAAAGACCACTCCCACCCCAATTATAATCTCTTCCAACCTCTTCCATCAGGCAGAAGACACAAAAGCTTAAACACGTTGTACCAACAGATTCAAGATCAGCTTCTTCCCCGCTGTTATTAGACTTCTGAATGGACTTCTCAAATTTCAAATGTAATGTTGACCTCGCTCTTGGTGCACCTTCTCTGCAGCAGTAACATTGTATTCCTCGCTCTGTTCAATCACACTACTGCACTTTGTATGGTATGGTCTGCCTGTACTGCATGCAAAACAAAACTTTTCACTCTACCTTGGTACATGTCACAATAATAAATCAAATCAAATATATTCACTGAAATTCATGGGCTCCAATCCTCTCAGGTTAGCAATTTGTCCTGTTGCTTGAACCTAGGTACAATCTATCAGGATACACGGAACAGGCTGGCCTTTGAACTTTAGGGAAGTGAAAACTGAGGGGATGGCCTGATTAAGGACTACAAACTAATCACTGTTTGGTCAGTTAGAACATAAACATTGCTAAAAAGGGACATGAAGGTGGAGCTTTTCATCTTGTACTCTTTGGGACTGAAGTGCCAGAGAGGGAACAACAATTTTAATGCAGCATGAAAACAGAGCGCTGATTGGTTGGATATGGGCTGACAAAAAGGTGGAGCAGGAACTCGAACTTAGTTGACTGACTAACAACCACACTGTAGGAAGAATGTGATTGGACTGCAAGGGTACAAGGTAGATTCACCAGGATGTTGCCTGGCAATGTTGCATTTCAGTGATGAAGAAAGGCTGGATAAGCTTGGGTTGTTCTCTTCGGAGGTTGAGGGGGGAGCCTAATAGAGGCATGTGAGATTATGAGGGACATGGGCAGGATGAACAGAACGCAGTCATTCCCCTCAGATGAAGGGTCACTAACAAGGGAGCGTAATTTTAACGTGAAAGACAGGAGGCTTAGAAGGGATTTGAGGAAAAACATTTTCACCCAGAGGAGTGGTGGGGTCTGGAATGTGTTGTCTCGGAGGGTAGTTGAGGCGGGAAACCTCACAACCTTTAAAAAGTACTTGGATGACCACGTGAAGTGTCAGAACATTCAAGGCTTAGGCCTAGTAAGGGAAAGCAGGACTACTGTAGGTGGTAATATATCTTTGCTCGTATAGACTTAATGGGCTGAAGGGCCTTGTCTGTACTGTAAATTCTTTGAATTCAAACCAGGTAAGTCAAGTCTGACCGCTCATGGCACTGCCGCGGGGATTATGGCTAGACGATGGCCTAGCGACAGAGTATTAATCCAGAGACCCAGATAATGTTCTGGGGACCTGGGGTCGAATCCTGCCATGGCAGATGGTGGAATCTGACTTCAACCATAATCTGGGAATGGGAGTCTAACGAGGACCATGCCAATAGTCAGGAAAAAAAAAACATCTGGTTCACTAATGCCCTTCAGGGAAGGAAATCTGTCACTTTACCTGATCTGACTACAGACCCACAGCAACATGGTTAAATCTTAACTGCCCTCTTGGCAATAAATACTGGTCCATCCAGTGACACTTAGATCCATGAATGAACAAACAAAATGCAGTACAGATTGGCTATCTTCATGCACCTATTCAAACCTATGTGTGTTTATCTTCCAGTGTGATTCATTTACACATGCTACAAGTACATTCACTCACAGGACTTTGCATTTTGTGGTCTTTGTTCAAAAGGAATTGAAAAATTCCAACATCTTGTCTCTACACAGCAATCTTTGAACAAACGAAGGGTAGAAGTGGAGATGTTTGTACTTCTAAGGGAGACCAGGCATCATAAATAGAAAACAGATTCAGAGACCAGTTCACAAAGAAACAAGGATCAACTAGGAACAGCAGTAAATATAAAGATTTCTCTACAATATCAACACACTCACCATCACTTCCTGGGAACAAGTTGTTTATTAAAGGCCATATAAAGATTCTAGCCTGACTGGCCTTTCTCTCAAACCCCAACATACTCTTGCCCTTTCCTTTCCCCGCTTCCATCTGTCACAAGTCGGTCCACACAACTGAGCCTTACCTGGTCGCTGGGCTCACACTCCACAATTTGCGCGCCATACTCCAGTATGGCAGCCTTTTTGCACGCCGGGGCATTTCGGGGCACAACCACATATGAGGGGATCCCTGAGACAGTTCAAAACACACACACTTACACGGGGCTTAACAACAGCAGTGTCCCTAACCTGACTGCACCTTCTTCAAACGAGGAAGAGACGGGATGACCCAAGATCCACCTCATTTTCTACCCTCACCATACCCATCACTGGCTCACCATTTCAACATTAACTTCAACTGCGAGAAACACTGGGGATTGCATCCTTCAGATGAGGCAGTCTGTTGCTGTATAACACTGGGGTACATTAACGGTAGAGACAGGTCTGTCACTGTACAACACTGGGGTACAGTACTGCTGGGCACAGGTCTGTCACTGTATAATACTGGGGTACAGTACTGGTGGGCACAGGTCTGTTGCTAAAAAATCCTGGGACACTGGAATGATGAAGAAGGGTCTGTTTCTGTATCACTCTGGGGTCTAGTGTTGGTGCAGACAGATCTGTCAATGTATAATACTGGATACAGTACTGGTGGGGCCAGGTCTTATTTGGCCTTTTCTGCAGTCCCCACCTTGCATTTGAGCAGCCAAGGCCAATGCCTGTCCGTGATTACCACTGCTGTGTGTCACCACAGCTCGAACATCCTCGCCATTTTGCCTCCTCGCGCTGAGGCTGGACACTGCGTTCAGGGCTCCTCGGATCTGAAAGGAATAACAAATCTCATCAACTCGCTGGTGGAAAGCAAACGATACAAAATTTTTGTCCTCACATTCAAATCTCTGCCGCGCCACTCCCCCCCCTCCGCCTATATCTGTAACCTCCTCCAGCCCCCAAAACACTCCAAGATCTCTGCATTCCTCCAATTCTGGCATCACAAGAAACTCTAATGTCCCTTGCGTCAACATTGGGGCCACACCTTCAGCTCCCTGGATACTTACGCTCTGGAATTTCCACCATAAACTTCACTTCTCTCCTTTAAAGGTACTTCTTACAATCTGCCTCCTTAATCAAGCTTTTGGTCACTCACCCTAATACTTCCTTTCAGACAGCTGTGAAATATTCCCTGATAATTGCTCTTGTAGTTTCTGGGGATGTTTTATTGTGTTAAGATTGCCATAAAAACACATTGTGTTAATATGAAAAGTAGTCCTAATGTTCTACCAGCAGAGTGCAGTATCACTTAGCTATGTTAAACTGACTGGCTCAAATTATGGTGTAGAGCTGGATGAACACAGCAGGCCAAGCAGCATCAGAGGAGCAGGAAGGCTGACGTTCTGGGCCTAGACCCTTCTTCAGAAATGGCTCAAATTATATCCAGGACCCAGCCGAGTGTCATGAATAATATAGTGTTAAATAGTCTGGATTTTTATGATAACTGGTTCTATACAACAGGAGTAAATTGGAAAAGGTTTGGTCTCTTGGGATTGTGTACATTGGGATGAATAGAAAGGGATTTAACCCACTAGAATTGCATACAATGGGAGTGAATGGGAAAAGTTTGGTTAATTGGTATTGAGTAGAATGGGAGTGAATGCAAAGCGGTTTGGTTAATTGGGATTATGTAATATGGAAGGGAACAGAAAGGGTTTGATAAATTGGAATGTATACAATGGGAGTGAATGGGAAGTGATTTGGTTGATTTGGATTGTGTACACTCGGAGTAAATGGGAAGGGGTTTGGTTCCAACAGGATTATCCACAATGGAAGTAACTGGGAAGGGACCTGAGTCCATCAAGATTATGTAGAGTGGGAGTGAATGAGAAGGGGTTTGGCTGATTGTGATCATGTACAGTGGGATAAATTAGGAAGGGATTTGGGTCCACTGAGGTTATGTGCTTCCTTTGTGTTTCAAAGACCAGATCCAATTCTATTTATTTATCCCTGTCCTGTTTCTGAATCAACAACATATCGATGCAGCCGGACCGGGGTGGCATTTCAATTTCTTAAAAGCATCTTACCTTGAAAGATCCAGTTTTTTGGAAAAGTTCACACTTGAGAAAGATTTTCCTATCAGCCCGCTTGTCCAGGGTGGAGTTGGTGAGGACTGGCGTCTGGTGGACAACATCACAGATGACCATGTGAGCCTTCTGTACACTAGCCAGGGAGACACAGTACTGAGACTCCATGGCTACTACAACTAGCAAAGAATTTCAACAGGAACTGTATAAAACAGCAGTTAAGACCACAGATAGTACATGCAGTGCCAATTGCCACATTATAGGAAGGATGTGATCGCAATAAGGAAGGGTGCAGTGCAAGATCCTTACCAGAATGGCATATTGTAACTGGGAGACAAGATCAGATAGTCTGAGTTTGATTTCTTTGGAACAGGCAAGATCTAATCAAGATGTACAGAATTGAGGGTTCTAGATAATCCAACTTGCCTTGGCAGAGAAAGTCAAATGACAAGTGAGGCATAGATTTAAAGTAAGCAACAGAATCCTTTTCTGTGCAGGGGCTTGGTGCATGTGATGGGGTCTGGAACACAATTCATGAAAGGGTAGTAATATCCTTACTGCTCCTGAGAATAAAATTGGATCTGCACTTGTAGCAACAGGGTCTACAGACCAAGAGCTGGTGGAAAGTGGGAATGAGACTAGATGTCTCTTTTAGAGATGATAGGAACAGACAAGATGGGCAGAATGACCTATTTCTATCAGGGCTCTAGGGATAGGGATGAGGCTATGGGATTAAAGGAGCTATTGGGAGTGCAGAAGGGGGGAGAAACTGAGCTAGTGATGCCTCATTTTTTTTTACAATGACGGTGGGGGTGCAGTCATATGCGCTGCACCATAGGTCCCGTTGTAAAAGCAGCAACTTGTATTTGCTCTGGAAAAGGGTCGGGATCAGAAAGAGAGCATCTGAGCACCCAGACGGCAGGCCTCAAACGATCAACTAGGCCTCGACGTCTCCATGGTAACGGCACCAAGGCGCCACCCGCCCCCTTCACCAGTTGTGACCCCGCCCTTCACCGTTATCCCCGCCTCCCTTCCGCACTGACCACGCCCCCTAAACGGAGGAGCCCCACCCTGAGCTTGGGCCAGCCCCCTACCGTTCTGACCACGCCCCCTCACGCCCTGTCAACCCGAGTCTGATCCCGCCCCCTCCCGGACTCCGACTCCGCCCCTTCACCCTCAGCCCGAACTCCAATGATTCTGGTCCCCGCCCCCTCACTGACGGTCACGCTCCCGCCCTGACTCTGACCCCGCCCCCTTGGCTTTGGCCCCCGCCCCCTTATTAACTCTGGTCCCGCCCCTTGATCGCACCGACTCCGCCTCCCGTCCGGACGATCCCATTCTCACCTTCCCGCGGGAGGAGAGGGGTGTCCGACTAGTCTATTTTTGCGGGTCAGTGGAAGCCGAGCCTCGGGAAGACGTCACTTCCGACAACGCTGAGGGTGCCTGAAGTGGCAGCATGGCCTTAAACAGTGGTAATGGGCCCTGGGTGAGGGAGAGAGGGATGAGAATAAAGAGAAAGAGAAAGAGGAGAGGGATGGGAGAAAGGGAGAGGGAAGGAGAAAGAGAAAAAAAGAGGGGAGAGTGTGAGAGGCAGGAGGGGAGAGAGACAAATACAGAAATTTCTGGAGAAACTCAGCAGGTCTGGCAGCATCTGTGGAGACAGAAACAGAGTTAATGTTTCAGGTCCAGCGACCCTTCTCCAGCTATTTGCTGTTTTTGTATTAGATTTCCAGCTTCAGCAGTTCTTCAATTACATTTTGTTTGGCGAAAGAGAGACTGGGGCAAGGGAGGATAGAGAGAGAGAAAGGATGGGGGAAGACAATGTCATGGTCCAGGGTGGGGGAGAGAGAAAGAGGCATTGGGCCAAGGAGGGGAAGAGAGAGGATCTGGGCAAGCGGGAGAGTAATGGGTAAGGGGTGGGAGAGAGACTGGGCGAGAGAGAGAGGGAAAGAGAGTAGTGGGCCAGAGAGGGGAAGAGGGAAACGGGTATGGGCAAGGGAGAGAGGAGAGAGTAATAGGTAAGGAGAAGAGAGAGGGTGTGTAATGGGCAAGGGATGGGGAGGAGAAAAGGAAGGGGGGCCAAGAGACAGAGGTAATGGTGAGGAAAAGAGGGAGACAATGGGCAAGGGAGGAAGGATTAGAATGGAGGCACTGGGGAGGTAAAGGACAAGGGAGGGAGATTGCAGGGGGAAGACAGAGATGAGGGGTGAGCGCGAGGAACAGAGACTGATAGGGTAAACACTCCTTCCACGCAGTGTCTGGATGGGGTGCAGCATCTTCCTGACGCATTGGAGCAGGAAGATGGCAAGGGCTGAAACTTCTGCCTTGTAGTGTTGGTGTTGGTTGTTTGTGTGCAGGTGACGAGGAGTTTACATGGATGCCCCCATCTGAGGCAGAGATGAAGGTGATTGAGGCCCGTCGTGAGCGCCAGGACAAGATCACCAAGCTGATGGGGGATTACTTACTGAAAGGCTACA